TTGATGAAGAGGATGTAATTAAGGAAAAGGAAAACCAACAAAGAAATATTGTGATAAAAAGAACTACTAAACCAAAAGAAAGACAAAAGCCTCTTGCAGTACCTCCAGTAGTTAACATGGTTGAGCTATATACAACTTAACAGTTCTTTGACATACCAGCAAGTATAACAAATGGCTAACTATTAGCTTTAAACCAAAAGTTTACAATAGATATAGTTAAAAAACTACAAAAACCTATTATAAAGAAACTAAATAAAGGAAAAGATCCTGCGATAGCAATGGAAACAGCTCGTCTAGAAGAAAATGAATCAAATAGAGAACCTGCTGGAGTGAAAGCAATGGATACTGCAGAGATTAATGAAGATAACAAATATCTTGCATCACAAGAGATATATAACTCATCCAAAAAGGATGAACAAAAGTCAACTGCTTTATATTGTCAAGCACACATCAAAAACAAGGAAATATCTTTAATCGTCAATTCAGGATTCTCAGGATATATTATATCCTATGTGCTACTTAAGGAACTTGGTATACAAATACAAAAGGAATCAAAAACAATAATGATCAATGTAAATGGTGAAAGAAGAAAGCCCATGGGAATGGTTACAAATATTCTATTAAGAATAATGGAAAAAATAATTTCCTTTGATACAATTGTAACTGAAACAAATTCCTATGACGCAATTGTAAGAAATAATTGGCTAGAGAAGACAGATGCAGAAATAAGTTATAGAAATAAAATTATGACATTATACTAGAGAGAACACACAATCAATGTTCCCATTGAATTTTGCCAATCATCTTTAATTAGAACTGAATGAGTTGATAATGATGAAAATGAAGAAGAGTATAAAGAAGAAGAATATAAAGAAGAAAGTGAAGAGGAAAATGAACAAGAAGGATTATTTTGTTACTCTGAAGAAATCCCAATCGAAGAAGCTCAAAAGATTGACAAAGAATTAGAAAAGCCTACTATAGAAAACCAAAATATAAAAGAATGCTTCTATCAATATAAGGAAATAGAAAAAGGAGCCTTTCATACTGGATGATTAATAGCACAACAATTAAAAAGATTCAATGAATTTATGTCTTAATATGTCAACCTATTTATTTGGGAAAATAATCAGTTTGGAAGAATAAATGTTATTACACATTCTATCGATACTGGAGATGTAACGCCAATCAAGTAAAGGTTCTATCGAACTTTATATAAAAATCAAGAGTTTATAAAAGAAGAAATTGATCACCTGCTAAAGTCAGGACTCATTCAACCCTCTAAAAGCTAATGGACCTCTCCTGTTATAATAGTGAAAAAGAAAAATAGCAAGAAACATTTATATGTTAACTATCGTAAGCTAAACAGTGTAACTAAAAAGGACAACTATCCTTTACCACGTATTGATGATATGTTAGAAACATTAGAAGAATCTAGGTGGTTTACTTTCCTGGATCTTGCAAGTGGTTTCTGGCAAGTAGAATTAGATCCTAAGGATAGAGAAAAGACCACATTTATTATCAGATTTAACACATATGAGTTTAATGTCATGCTCTTTGGTCTTTGCAATACTCCTGCAACATTCTAACGGTTAATGGATACCATTTTACGTGATATCTTATGGCAAAATATAGTTGTATATATTGATGACATTAACATTAGTACAAAAACGTTTAACAAACACCTCATACAACTAGAACAAGTATTTCTACGTTTGCAACAAGCTAGACTAAAATTAAGTCCAGAAAAGTGTTTCTTCTTTGAATAGGAATTACCATTCCTTAGACATGTGATTAGCGAAGAGGGTATTCAAACATATCCAAATAAAATAGCTGTCATGAAAAACTTTTCAGTACCAAAAGACTTGACACAATTCAGAGGATTCATTGCTTTAACATCATATTACAGAAGATTCATAAAAGGCTTTACTAATATTGTTGAACCTTTAAATAGATTATTTAAAAAGAATA